CTTATCTATGTACAGGGCTAATATCATTGAGGTTTATTTATTTTGTAGCAATGGTAGAATGGGGTAAAAAAATATATTGTAAATGATTTTTTTAAATTTTCATAAATAGCAAGCAGATTTCTAAATAGATTTTTAAAAATATTTTTAAATAGCCCATTTTGTTATCTAAAAAGGAAGCATCTTATGCATCAATATACACACTGGTAATCATCAGATTGTAATTTTACTTTTGGCCAGGAACTCTCAGCGCTAAGTAAAACTGCTGTTGATTCAAATTTGTCTTGGGAAATCCGTTTTCGTTTGGAAGAGGAAGAAAAAAATATGTACAAAGCTAAAATGGAGGAATACAAAGCACAGGTAAATCTTAAACGTCAGTCATAATGGCTATTCTAAGTTTTTGTGTTTAAGTAAAGTTTTAAATCTCATTTAATTTAATTGACTTACTCTGACCTAACTATCCCGTTTTGTTCAGTGCATGGTGGGGGGGGGGGGATCCCAGAAATCAGTCATAGGTGACTTCCTCAGCCTCTTCCAAGCTGGTACCCACAGATTTAGGTCTTTCTAAGAATGTGCAAGGCTATGTTATGTGTGGACAGCCTTGTTTTTGCTTTCCTCTTTCTTTCATGCAATGGGCTGACTTTGATCAACGTGTCATCTTTGTCTAAGGATATGACAATCTTGAAAGCTCTCATTAACCTTCTTACTAGGGAACATGTTGGCTGAGTGATGAAGGAATTTTGCTGGTTCGGATCTTAGTGTAGACTACGATTTTGACTTCATAATTTTTAGGACACCTCAAGTCCATCCAACTCTAATGGTTACCTGACATTAGTTGGGTAAAGTAAAAAACTATTGGTTTTTTGTGCTGGCCACATGACACCATCATTAAATGTCAGACATGGAAATAGACGAGCATTGCATAATCTGCCCTATAGAACTCTGGTCTTAACTCTTTGACTCCGGAATTACTTCGGAATTATTTTCCACTTTTGGACAGAATTAATTTTTCCGCCATTTCAGAGTGCTCTACTTTGCTTCGATATAACTTGTATAACTTTTTTATTTATTATTGGAAAATAATAAATTTGATATAGAATTAAAGAGAAATGGATGCTCTTTCCATTTGTTATGTTTTCTAGTTTGCAAATCATGTTGTTTTTGTAATTTTGGGTTTTGAATATAAAAATTAAAAATGAAAAACTCACCAACTGACATTGAAAATATCCATCCAAGTGCATGTTTAAAGAAATTTATTGTTCAAATTGAATCCAATTAGCTTTTTTTCTCATTTTTATCCATTTGTTTACAGAACACCATAGAAGAAACAGCAATAGATGCAAAAAATAATAAACTGGAACTAATAATCAAATGTCACTACTTTAACGAAAAAGCCCATAAAAAGCAACACTCTTAGAACAAAACACTTTTACCCTAAAACTAGTCCAACTGACAGCATATATATATTTATAGTATTTTCTTCTAAAGTTCTTCATGTACTTAGTATATAAATATTCCTTCTAGTTGTGATATTCATGGAAGCAGTCAATATGAATGTGTGGGTTCAACTCCCTTCCAGCGCAAACATAAACCGTTCTCCCTGACCTACAGTGTTTACATACTCTGTCTTTCTTTATAGTTATAGGTCTCCATTCTCTGAAAATGGATCTTATTCTAGCAGGGGTGTTCAATTTAATCCTATGGCTATGGTCAGCATAGCTATTTATTTTGCTGACAAGACTATCAACAATGTGATTGTCAATGAAAAAACAACAACATTCCAGCTCAATAGATGCAGTGCTGACTAAGTCTAGGTTGACAACCCAATTTCTTGGTGGAACAAATCTGAAATTGATCTGTTTCAGTGCCTAGATGATAGATCTAGAGATCTACCTCTATCTGATTAAATTTAGATCTAGATGATATAGACAGCTAAACTAGTTCTAGATCTGCATTGAACATTAGCTGGGGGTGGAGCTGCTTCATCAGCTGATAAACTTCATCATTACTAGACCTAGCCCTAGGTCTAGATCTATAAATTAATTTACTAGATCTAGATATATATAATTAGATTTATCAATATCAACATCAGATGAAACAAAACCACTGTCATCTGAATTATTATACTTCCTCATCAAAGAAATATTTAGATCTACAAAGTTTATATGGCCTTGGTTGAAGCTCTATGTTAAAAAAAACACGCACACAGAAAAAATAAATGTCATCTCTTTACAAACTTCATACAAAATAAAAACACGTTAAATGAAGGAAATTCCGGATGTTTAGCAAAGGGAAACTATTCTAGATGAAAAATTAAGCAATAAAAAACAAGAATTGGAGAAATAGAAACAAAAAAAAAATACATTTGAAATGGCTGATGCCCCCAGCGTTGGTCCGACTTTTTCCCCCTTTTTAAAATCAACGTCCTGTGCGTTGTTGCGGAGCCAAAGAGTTAAAGGGGCACTTTATTTTGTAGTATTAGTTATTGTGCTCTTGCTTATCATACTGTGTTGTGTTTGATAATAGGTAGAGCTTCTTCAGCAGCAAGTATCAGACCTAGAAGCTCAACTAACTCAACAGAGCCAGCTCAAGCTACAGGATCTCATTGAGTCTCTCAGTGCAGGAGAAGCTGGCAAACAAGGACTGAGTCAACAGTTGGCTAAATTTTTAGAGCAGTGTCAAGCCCAACCCTCCCAAGACAATTCGTCTGAACTTCATCATCAGATAGTCAAAACTGAGCCTGACCACTCGTTAAGTGATACCTCTGACCATTCCCTCAATGATCAGCTAGTAGACCCGGCATCTGATGCCCATGAAAGTGGGGCTGTTAGTCATCTGAATGAAATACCAGAAGGTTTTCAAGTGTTGTGCACCACAGTAGATGGCCATGTGGTTGTCACTCGGAACCCTAATACTGTCTCTGGGGTGACTAGGCGGACATTGTTGAGCGACACTAGAAATGCAGCTGTTGTGTCAACCTCTGGTCTTCCAGACAGTGGCCAAACCCTTTTCTCACATATTCTGGGTGCTCAAGGTAAAGACCAGACATCTGGTACCTTATCCATCTCTGATGCCACTGTAACTGCTACAAGCCTGATAGCCGATTTGTCACACGATGACCATGGCGAATTAGGCATCTTAGGTAGCGGGCACAGCTGTCAGATGGAAGTGGTCACTGCTGCTGATGGTCTGGCTGCCCTGGGGACCGGTGTAAGTAGTTTGTCAAACAACGCTGAAGATAATGGCGGCCAGGGTGGTTTTGTCATGGACATAGAAAATGGGGCCAGGATCTATGTTCAGGCATCTGAGAGTTTACAAGTGGAGCAATCCTTGGAAGAACATTTTGAAAGTAAAGAGCCTGAAAGCAAACGAGCCCGGGTCACATGATTAGGTTTGCTGTCTTAGTTCTTTGGCAGTCCTCTAGAATACACTCAGTTTAATATTCTATACAATTTATGGCAGATTCTTTTCCTGCAGTTCTATTATTGTCAGCTTTCAAATGTATTCATTGTTTTCTGTCATTTGAAGTTTTCTTCTTGAACATGGATAGTGTGCAAGCATTTTTGAATACATTTTATGACTCGTAGTATGTGGCAATATTTATAATATGAATAAGACATCTATGTTCTATTTGTATAATGGAAAATGATAAGTTGTTAGAACGTATAGATGATTAAAATGATGGCATTTATTTAATTTTTTAAAAAATATGATTATGGGTTTTTTCCTAATAAAATGTTTTAGGCAAATGAACTACTTCTATAGGTCAGTGATGATTCGAATGTTAAATACACAAAATATTTAGGATGCAGCTGTTTGACTGTTGTACACACTTGTTGGTCTCTTTTACTGAAGCATATCATGTTTTAGCTTGATAGGTTTATTCTGGTATCAGCTTCTATTTTAATCAATATAATAAACAAAACTAATATTTTTGTCTGTATTATATGATAGATATCTCATGGTGGATGGCAATGAAATGTTTAAAGTTCTAGCTGAGATTGTGCTTTTATGCCTCTAGAAAGCCTTTCTTATTTCTGAATTGGTTTTTGAGATGTATTAAGATGTGACAAAATGACAATTTCTATGGTCTGGGACAAAAATAATTACTGCTTGCGTGCTGAATGAAAATATTGTTGGTGAGATGTATCACAATGTTACTGTTAGTGCAGTATATGACAAATGTACTTTTTGTGCACTTTATGAGTGCATTCTTTAAGTGCATAACTATTTATGTTTTACTATATCCTTCAATTTTCACTGAGGGAGAAAGTGTCAGATGAGGTGAGGCCAGTGGCGTAGCTAGGGATTTGGGGGCTGTGGGGCTTGACCTTTTTAGGAGACCCTGCGTTTTGACATGAGATAATGTACTTAATAAATATGTAAGTCTAAATTCCAATTGTATACTATATCAGTAAAATTAAAAAAAAAAAAATCATTAAGACTTATGTACAGTATATTTGTTTATTGGCCAGATAATGCACAAGTGACAAATCTCAATTCATTTCGCCCCATGTCATGCTTTCTAGATTAATGCTGTTAAGTTTTTGACTCTACTTGAATAGCAAAATTAAAACGCAGTGACGTAGTATTTAATGTAAAAAACAGAACAAATTAGGACCTTCATTTGGGAACCCTCCTCAAGTGGGGGCCATGGGAAACTCAAATTTGGAAGAAACCCCCCCCCCCCTTCTGCCACCTTAGCTACGCCACTGTGTGAGGCCTGACAAAGCTTAAGTTATACTCAATCTGTATTAGCTAAAATAGATGATGCTATGTCCTTTCCTTTTTTTTTTTTTGGTTGGGAGCATGATAACATTGTATTCAAATATTTTTTTTCCTGTAGTCAAGCCATGTCAGAACTAAACGAAGACTTTTTTTTAAAAATGCTATTGCTCAACTAATGTACCAATCATTTTGTTTAGACTGTGATTTCAATCTAAAGCTTAAATCATCCCAACATTGTTTATTCTCCCTAACCTTTAGTCAAATACTATAACAGAAATTCTACCCTTTTTTTTTTTTTTGTTAAACAAACCATCTTTTACTGTATACCAGCTGGTGGGAGTTATTGGCCCTTGTTGAACAAGCACTGCTAGAATCGAATCACTATCTACTTCCTGTTTAATGGAATGTGAGGTTGATATGATTTATTTTTGACTTATTTGTTTGGCATTGTTGTATTATTGTTTTGTTTTGTTTTTATGTACAGCTACTTATTCTTATTTTCTTTTTCACTGATAATTTATTATTTGAAATAGTTGTTACATTATTTCTTATTCATTAAATTGACATGAAAGAAGTTGTGTTTCTTATAGATCTGTTCTATTTTTATGTGTGCTTTCTTTTTTTTTTAAACAAAGTAAATTTATATTTTGAATTCCATGTTTTTCTTTTTTTTTTTTTAGCCAGCTTTTTGTTGCTGAGTTGTAGGCTCATTTGCAGTCTGTGCCAAGGAAAAAAGTGTGCTGTTTTTTTTAGAAGTGAAGCACTGCAAATCAAAATACTCAGCTCTTTCCACCATAATTAAAAGTTCCCCTTTCAGATCTTGTGATCTATAGGGCTGATGATGTAAAGGTCATCTGTTTCTGTGGCCCGTAGTTAATGAGATGTCATGTGGCCAGCGCAACGAGCATCCACCTTTACTTTCTCCAACTAATGCCAGGTACCCATTAGAGCTGGGTAGACTCAGAGGCGCCCAAAGATACCAAAGTAAAAATCCCAGTCTTCACCAGGATTCGAACTCGGGATCCAAGCACTTTATCATCAGCCACCCTGCTTCCTAACCTTCCACCTTACATAAGAAAAATTCATCAGGTGAACTGTTTTGACCACATATCAGACATAGAAATCCTACAGTTGTACCATATGAATGAACAGTATCCTTTTTTAACCTTTACCTATCCCTTAGTCTGTTGGGGCACCAGGCAAAACTTGTCGACCGTCTTTCTCCATTCCTCCCTTTTTTTTTCCTTGTTTAGAACCTCTCTCATTGGCAGGCCCGTCCATTCTTTAATGTTGTCCTCCCATCGCTTTTTCTGTCTGCCTCTTCTTCTTTTCCTGGCACTGTTCCCTGAAGGAAGGTCTTTGCGATCCCCATAGATCTTGTAATGTGGCCATAGGTTTTAAGATTTCGTCTTTTTACAATAGTTAGCAGGTCGTCATGGGCTCCGATCGCTGCAGTAACACTGTCTCTGATTTCTTGGTTTGTGATGCCTAGAATCCTTCTGTAGCATTTCAATTCCATTACTAGGATCCTCCTCTCTAGCTCTGCATTCAACGTCCTCGACTCGCAAGCATATAAAAATGTGGCCATGACCAGGGAGCGCATCAGTCTGATTTTGGTGCCGAGGGCTAAGCCCTTGTCTTTCCATATTATTTTAAGTTTTGAAAGGGCTGCTGTGGACTGTACTATTCGGGCCAATAGTTCGGGTTTTGTTCCCTCATCTAAGACAATAGCTCCGAGGTATTTGAAGCTATTAACACTAGTTAGCTTTTCATCTCCAATACTGATGCCTCTTTTAAAGCCCTGATGGCTTTCTGAGGTTTAGGATTAGTTCTTTTATGCTGCGACCTTGTCTAAAAGCCGCTTGTTCTTCTGATAAGATGTTGTCTGCTATCGGTTTTAGCCGGTTTAATATAATTTTTAACAGTACTTTGCTGGGATGACTTATGAGGCTGATGGTGCGATAGTTTTGACAGAGTTGTAAGTTGCCTTTCTTTGAAGGGTTAGTGATTGGGTCCAGGGTTTGGGCCATTCTCCTGATTGCCAGATCTTGTTGCAAATCATATAGAGTGCGTTTATCATAGTTTATCCTCCCGCCTGAAGAAGTTCACCAGGAATGTTGTCAACTCCGGCCGATTTTCCCTTTTTCAGGGCTTTTACTGCTGCTGCTACTTCCGAGCGAAGAATCTGATAGTCGTCAATGTTGGAGACTGCCGGGACATTTAGTATCTCTGTATCTCCTGAGATTTCAAAGTTATACAACTCTGAACAATATTCCGTCAATCTTTTAAACACATCTTTGTCCACGCCATAGCAAAAGGGTCCCAAACCTGAACGGTGGGACATGTAATCCATATGCCAGAAAAACGACTTCTTTATGGAGAGCTGTGTGCAGGAAAGCACTCTCAGGAGCATGGGCGTAGCTGGGGGGGGGTTGAACTCAACCCCCCCCCCCAATAAAATCCTGGCTACGCCCATGCTCAGAGGGATCAACACAAGCGTTACAAAGACGTCTGTGACTGGCTTTTGAATGCGAGAATTGGGCTTAACAGTCAACTCCGAGCTCATAGGAAATGAGAAATATGTTAATCTTTGAAGACGGAGGAGCTATACAGTACAGAGTGTAAATTTTGTTGGTCTGTGGTGTAGTAGGGTCTGGCTAAGGTGGATTAAAATGGGACATTATTGAAATCCATGTAAAGTGTGCAGAAATATCATGAAAAGAAACTATAATACCCAGCTTTCTCCGACCTACATAAACAAAAAAAATGACATCACTCTTTCAAATAGATGTTTGTGTGTGTGTATGCAAAGAAAAACAGACAATTTTTTACCCTCTACCCCTCGAAATAAAATCCTGACTACGCCCATGCATTTATGTATCTCAAATGTGGGTTATATTTTCTGGTTCTAAAGCTATTATGGCTATATGGAAATTTGTTTTACAATTGTGCATTACAAAAAAAAAATATTATTAGAGCAAACATTTGTATCATATCGCACAATACACCAGTTTCTCTTTAACATTACATGCGAAATTTACAACAGTAAGTTACATTTTGTTAAACAATTTAATTGCCCCTAAAAAGGTCAATCCTTCCGAGCCCACAAATCTCAAGCAACGCCACTGAGGCTACGATGGTCTTGACATGTAGTCCGTAGGTCTGTGCCCGAAAATCGATTCCCCCCATGCGACTTTTTTTCGTGGGAACCTGTTTGCTGAAAAAGCGCTCACTGTGGGATGGGGTCAAAACAAGCGACGTAAAGACACTTCCAAAAGCTCCCTCAAAGAATGTGTAGTTGACACTTCGGATCGGGAAACGCCAGTTCTTGATCGCTCCTCTTGGCGTGAAGCCGTGATTGTCTGTATTTTGAGTAGCATAAGAGGCAATGGAGAGATCGGCCATCAGTTAAAAAAAAAAGACGCAGATCACAAATAAAGCTGAGAATTAAAGTAGATTCAGATTCATGCCTTGCTTTCGGCCGGCTTTTTAAAATCATCTTCAAGATAATGCTCATGATCTTTGACCACGAAGGATCAAAGATGTATATAGAGAGAATCTAGTCTGTATAACATAAGAAACATGTATTTTTGCAATAACATTTCTTCAATATGTGGACTTACCTTTGATTAGAATACATTAGCTTTTAGATTAGATCTTGATGTGAACATTAAGTCATGAGAACATAATATCTAAATATTTACATTTTTGCTGTTGTTAGACTTAACTCGATGGGTATATAAGCCTATATTATTATTATTATGGTCAATTTTCTTAAATTAAAAATTAATATTATTTTAAATTTAAAAGTCGATACGGAATTATTTTTTAAATTCAAAGCCTATTAATTACCATATCCGGGTCACAGTTTGTTGACATCTTGCAATCAGTTGTGAAACTGTAAGAAGATTTGCGTGTTGACTTAGAATCTATATTAGTTTTAACCGAAACTACCATATATCTAAATGTAAATAATAGACTAATGCTAATAACCACATACCAATGATAGTGAGTGTTAACATCTAGATTTATAATTTAGATTGGCTTTTTGTTCATTTGTTGGACAATCCAGTCTTAGGGTTAGGGTTAGACTAGGTCTAGAGCAGTAGCACTGGCAGTGAGTATGAGTGAGTCAGACTACTAGACCTAGATCTAACTATTAACTACTATCGACTAGATATATCTAGAATCTACTAGGTCACTAGAGTAGTAAAGTCTTTATTCACTCTAGACTTTGCCTTTTCATTGTACTTTCTACATTCTATCTTATTTAACAAACTACTTTACTAGATCTTGTAATAAATTAAATCTTATCTTATATAATACAGATGTTACTTCAAAAAAGAAGATGATTACGTCCTACGCGTCATGCATATTAACCAATGACTTAAATTCTGCCAAGTCACTGGTTTTTCTGGCTAGCTCAGGCAACCCATTCCATGCTCTAATAGCACTAGGGAAGAAGGAGTATTTGTCCTAGCATAGGGGATGAGGAATGTGCCTTTATTTTTGTGTCTTTCAGAGTATTTTATTAAGTTTTGTATTTGAAGATTATGGTTCAGTGTTTTATGTATAATTGCTACTTTACTTTTGAGTCTTCTGTCCTGAAGGCTTTCTAAATTTAGTGAATTTACTAATGGTGTTACTCTAGTCAAATGTGAATATTTGTTTGTTATGAATCTCACTGCTCTATTTTGTGTTTGTTCCAGTTTCTTAATGTTTTCTTGAGTTGAGGGGTCCCAAACGGTGGATGCATATTCTATTATTGGCCTAACCAAGGTTAAATAACATTTTAGTTTTATGTTCTTATTTGATTTATAGAAATTTCTTTTAATAAACCCTAATGCTTTGTTGGATTTTTTTGTAGTTTCATCAGTATGTGGATTCCATGACAGTTTTTCATTTATTATAACACCTAGGTATTTTGCGTTTTTAGTCTGTGTTACTGGTTTGCCATGAATAAGATAAGTGGAATTAATTTTAGTTTTTTTGTTACTCTTAACAACTGACATTTTTCTGGGTGGAAAGACATGCTCCAATTTGATTCCCATTTCTGTAATTCATCTAATTCTCTTTGTAAAATATCTGTGTCTTGTGTTGTTTTTATTGTTCTATATATTATGCAATCATCTGCAAATAATCTGACTTTTGTTCCTGAAGTAATGCAATTTGGTAAATCATTTATGTAAATTAAAAATAGTAGTGGACCCAAGACTGTTCCTTGAGGTACACCTGAGTTTACTGTTATCGGTGTTGATTTAGAGCCATTTATTATTACAGTTTGTTCTCTCCCTATTCATATTGTAAACCAAACCAAGATGATTGATGCCATTGATGTGAAAAGTGTTCAGTTGTTCGACTAATATATTGATTCTTGAAATCATTAGTAATAAAGTTGCTTTCTCTAGGATATATCATATTTATGAATACTAGTAGTAATATAGCCTCTGATTTGCTGACATGTTTCATCAATTGAAGTCTAGTTTTAGGGTTTACTTAATCTTGGTTTTATTTTTGTTCTCCCTTATAAGGCTTTGTTCTCCTGTCTCTCCTTCTTTAGGCGTGCAGCTGTCTG